TCTTTAATCAAATTATTCTTTTTCATTTATCCTTTTTTCTTTGATAATAAGTTTAATGGTGGATGCTGCGAAGATTCGGTGGGTGGGCCCTTGCTGCGTGATTGTTCTCAGTTAGTGAGGTCCTGTTCCTCGTGTATTCTTTTTAGTGCGGTTCCAAGGACTGCCAACTGGGCTGCCCATAGAGTGGCAAGACAAGCTCTGTTGCTGTCCCCTGTAGAGATAGCGTCCTTTGATTTTGTAGGGTGGTTGCATTGATGTTTTTTCGGGGTTTGGGTAGAGGTTTTAACTATTGTACTTCGGTATAACTTGGAAAAAAAAAAAAAAACTTAACCAAACACACATAAATAATAATTTTTTGTCAAGTAACAAAATATAAATAAGAAAAAAGAGAGTGACATATATCACATTTTGTTAAATAAAAAATATCTAATTAAACCTTACGAAGTAAAATTCCTACTCATTTTTACTAAAATTGAATGATAAGTTACATTTTGATGAAAAATTAAACAAACATACGCATAAAAAATAATGTTTTTATCGATTAAACAAAATATAGATGAAAAGAGAGAAAATAAACCTTTGACATTCAATTACCTGTGAAAAATAAATTATATTACTCTATATTTTGTTGCAATGAAACACTCTCTTATTCATAAAGTACATGTCTATAAAATAAAATAAGTATTATTTAGCAAAATGTCAGAGTATAATTTTGTCGAGTAGTTACAATTATTTATTTAAAAAAGACTTCTTATTCATTCAGATCATGTTCTACCTTAAACTTCTCAAATGAAGAGGGATCGCATTTGCAATAATTTTATAATGTGTCCTAAGTTCACATTAACAATAGTTGCTCTATATTATGTTGATTGATCAAAGCTCTATTGAGATCCTAAGTCGTATGTTAAGAAATTTCCTTTCAGACTTGGAGTTATCAAATAAATTTTCTAAGTCGTATATTATGGCAATTCAAAAGTAATTTTTTGCCACATAAGCACTTGGAGGATCCACAATTTGCCAAGTTGGACAAATTTTTTACAAACAAAAAAATTAGTTATTAATGTATTTATGGAGCTACCTCTCTCTTCTTTAATATTTCAATTTCTTTAATCAACTTATTCTTTTTCATTTATCCTTTTCTTTTTTCTTTGATAATATGTTACATGTTGATAAACTTAACCAAACACACATAAATAATAATTTTTTGTCAAGTAACAAAATATAAATAAGAAAAAAGAGAGTGACATATATCACATTTTTTTAAATAAAAAATATCTAATTAAACCTTACGGAGTAAAATTCCTACTCATTTTTACTAAAATTTAATGATAATTTGATGAAAAATTAAACAAACATATGCATAAAAAATAATGTTTTTATCGATTAAACAAAATATATATGAAAAGAGAGAAAATAAACATTTGACATTCAATTACCTTTGTAAAATAAATTATATTACTCTATATTTTGTTGCAATGAAACACTCTCTTATTCATAAAGTACATGTCTGTAAAATAAGTATTATTTATCAAAATGTGAGAGTATAATTTTGTCGAGTAGTTACAATTATTTATTTAAAAAAGACTTCTTATTCATTCAGATCATGTTCTACCTTAAACTTCTCAAATGAAGAGGGATCGCATTTGCAATAATTTTATAATGTGTCCTAAGTTCACATTAACAATAGTTGCTCTATATTATGTTGATTGATCAAAGCTCTATTGAGATACTAAGTAGTATGTTAAGAAATTTCCTTTCAGACTTGGAGTTATCGTCCACGATTATAAATCAAAATTTTCAAAATGTCTTAGGTAAGATTGTCGACGAACTTTGACTTCATACCCTAGGATGAGACACAAGATTCCTTGAAAAATACATATGTGAAGGTTAGAGAAATCTTTCATGAAAATATACGATAAACATTACGTTTAACCTAGGCATTTACCAAATAAAGGTTGGCAATTTTTAGTAAGATAGTCAATTGGGATAAACATATTTATCCAGCAATCAAGTATCTTTATCCAATAATCTCAACTCTCAAAATTGGTTGTCAGTTCGTCCAAACTCGAAAATCACGAATTGATATAGGTTGTATAAGATAATAAGTTAATGCAAATAATCAAATAAAATCCATCGATATTGTTCAAATGATAAGACATTTTAAATGCACTTGAAATATGTGTGTATTGTAGACACTCTTTATCAATTATTAATATATAAGTGATAAAATCTTTGAAAATTACACATTCAACGACCATATTAACACCAAAATCCTCGATAGTGTGTGTGTGAGTGTCTTAGATTGAGATTCTAAGCCAACATATAAACAATGACCACTGGTTAAGGTTCAGTCTAAACTTCAAGAATTAACAACTGATACATATTGTATAATATACTAAATTAAAGTGTCTTGATAAAAAAAAACTAACATCCAAAATGGGAATGAGTCAAGATTAGAGAATTTAATCATCATGAGGGCTATAGTGTGTGTTAAGTGTCAATATGGATGAATAAATTGATCCAATAATGAAGTATGTTTACTAAGAATTTCTCACTAAAAAGTCCTAATCTTTACAACATTGGTCGAGATTTCTTCCAAACTCGGGGATCGTGAATGTGTATTGGGATTTCCAAAGGACCTAAAATCCCAATCCCTTTCGGGGGCTAAATACTTCTGATCACAACCATAGGTGTCAAAGAAGAATGAAAAGAACCCCAAAAAAGCAAAAAAGAACATAACCTTTGATACGATGAACAGAATAAAACCATATCGAGTTATGATCCTGTCATCCCTACCCTTTTATTCTCCATAAAGGGAGAGGCGGGAGAGGATATGAAATAAATAGCAGGCTCTTAGGATTTGCCTCTTTATATATTACATATCGAACGACAGACAACCCCAATGGTTGTTTGACGTTATGGGGGTAAAAAGCAGGATCTCTATCCCGGGGGTGGGGGATAGGCAAGTAGCACTTTTAATATGAGTATTAGGCCATATAAGATAGGTCTGGCGAAGTATCCGGATAATTTTGAGCCTATATACACACATATATAATATCAAGGTATACTATAATTTTGATTTTACTCAAAATACGATAGAATATATGTATGCTGAAGTATGTGCATAAATTAGAGGTTAGAAAATTAGGGACTGGAGTTCACCTATTAGAGGTTAAGGTATAATATCATGCCCCAAAAAACTCCGGTTAATTTGGGGTCTAAATAGTAAAAGTCAATGGTCGTATAGTAGTGTGAATGAAAAAGTATAGTGCACACTAGTTTGAACTATATATAAAAAATGGATGGTTCTATCGTACCTTGACTAAATTCAAGGTATAACATACCTTGAGTAAGAAAACGCTATCTAGACCTCAATTAACCAAAGTTTGCAATATAGTAGTATACCCTAATCCTTATAGATTAAAATGTGGGCCTTAATTCTAAAAAAATCATACACTAAGATCAATTTAACTAGAAACAAAAATTGATGGTCATGATTCGTCGAAACATATGCAACAAATTACATGCACAATCCTAGGGTTTAGGGTCTATGATTTAGATAACTAAAGCATAGGGTTCACTCATCCAGGGTTAGGGTATAGTATAATGCCCCAAAATTCGGTTAATTCGAGGTCTAGATAGCATTTTCTTACTAAGGGTATGTCGTACCCTAGATTTTACCCACTGTACGATAGAAGGCACCATATATATGTGTGTGTGGGGTGGGGGTTCAGGTTGACGTACGTTAAACATTAGTGTTTTGATTTACAAAGTTTGACATAAATTCTAAATGAGACGTGACAACGACATAATTTATGATTAGAAAACCGAAGCATCACAAGTGAGTGTGCTAAATATTGGAAATTTTCAATATAAACATACTACAAACTCTGTTATGAATCAATAACAATAAAAGATCCAAAATGATTTAAACATATAAATAAGTTAATTAATATAAATTATAAAATAACCGGCCAACGGGTAAAAAGCTAATTAGTAATGAAGATCATTGAAAATGATATTTCGCCAAACACAAAATCGAAGAGTTAACTTATAAATGTATTATACTTAAAAAAAATTAGACTATGTCTCAATTTTAGAACAAAACCTTCGCAATCCATTGCACGACCAATAGTTTGGATTTGACTTTTTGGAGAATATAGGCAAGATGAATACAAACAAATTTATATATAAAAATTGATGCATTGTTAATTATCATAATAATGTATATAATGTATATGTAGTAATTTACATTATTTGGTTTTTGTGATAGTTATTGTAGTATTTGAATAAGCTATATTACTTTTTGGATGAAATGTCACTTTTACTCTTTATTTTTAATATAAAAAATTAAAACACATAAAAAAACTAGAAACATAATTGGAGAAAGAAAAAACTCCAGCAATCTCACAAAAAATTTGAAATTTAACTATCACTCATTTTAAGTGATAGTTTGTATCACATCAATCAAATAATACATGTATTATAACTATCACAATCAGACTATCACCAAAACCAAACCACCTATCCTTGCAAATAATCTTACATCGCTTAATAGTTAAAACCCCTTTTCTAGCGGGCTATAGATTGGAACCTAAGCACGCTCTTATAAAAAGACAGAAAAAACAAAATCGGAATAGACTAACAAATGTCCATCGAGTACAACAACAAGCTGTAGTATTTGGGACGATAACCATACTGACAAAAATGAAGCGGAAAATCCTAAAGCCAGCCAGGATTCCAAGAAAGGAAGAAAACCAAAATTACCAGTGGGCGGCGCTGGCTACCCTTTTGGTTTTATTTTTTCTTTTGACCAAGACCCTTTCGAATCTTTTACTTTATTCTATTATTGAACAAGGTTCTCTCAAAAAAAAAAAAAAAAACAACAACAACAACAATATTTGGTAATAGTTAATTAATCCGCCGCCCCAAGAATCTTTTACAAGTAGTATATATAGTGTTCCATCATCTCATGATCATTAATGCCAAAACCTAGACATATGGCTTTGAAAGTTGAGATCAGTCGCCGAGAAACAATCAGACCACTCTCTCCGACTCCTGCCAACCGGAGATTCCACAACCTCACCATTCTAGACCAAACGACGCCGGCTGCTTACGTCCCAGTCTGCCTCTTCTATTGCCCATCCGACGAGAATACAGTTATTGCCGACGCACTGAAGGCTTCCCTCTCCCAAACCCTAGACGCATACTACCCGCTCGCGGGACGTTACAAGGACGCCGTCACCGTGGAATGCAACGACGAGGGTGTCGACTTCGTGGAAGCTGACGTTGCAGCAGACATGTCGGACGCTCTTCAGGAGCCTGAAGAGGATAGGTTGTTGGCCTTGCTGCCTTGTCGGCCTCGTGAGAGGCGTGTTGACGCGGAGGGCAGGCTCATCCTTTTAGCCGTCCAACTGAACTTTTTCGGGTGTGGGAGTGTAGCTGTTGGCGTCTGCATGTGGCATGGCGTGGCCGATGCTTGCACCCTGGCTTGCTTCCTTCGAGCCTGGGCCATGTCCAACAACTCTCGCGGCTGCTCCAGCTGCCTGGGCTGTCCCAGTCTACTGGATGCGGCAGGATCAGCGGCGCAACCACTCACGACAGGTTAGTTGGAATAGATGATAGATTTGAAAATTTTGACTAAGTGATAAAAATTTGGTCCTCTCGGCTTGGCCATCAGGGTGGTGTACGTACGTTGTTGTGACTTGAAAATCGATTATCTGTCGTTGACTTGATGTCACAAGCGTCTTGCTATAATTAGAGTTAGTGTTAGACTGTCTGAAAAAAGTGTTATATATATAGTGGCGGAGGGAAGTGGAGAAGAGTGGGGTCCTAGGACCCCACTTGAACAAATAAGAAAGATTAAATATGTATAGGTACTTTTGAATATGAATGTGTTAATAACTTAGGACTCAATTCGTACGAAATTTAACTCTTATGAACATTATATACACTCAAATAAATATCTTTATCGATAAGATAAAATAAAAAAATATATTATGAAATAATGGAATATTGGAAATTCACTACTACAAAAAAGTTCAGAATATTTTGCAACAAAAAAAGAGGGAGCGGACTGGTTATTCCGCCACCCTTGTCTTTTTTTGTTTGGCCTGACACACATATCCAGACATGAGAGAGAAACCAACTGACTAGTTAGAGGTTACTTTTACTAATCTCCTCTTTTTCTTAATCGGATCCTATAGCATTCGTGTTACTCAGAATCTAATTCTTTTTTAGCATAGAAAGAACACATTAATTATGATCTACACAATGATATCCATTCTCTATATTTTGAGCAAATAAAAAATTAACTCTTGAAAACACATGTCGGATGTAGTATTATAATTGTCATATCTATCATGTCATCATGATAAGATGACTCATCTTCTTAATTTCAACTCAAAATTTTTTTAAAAATTTGTATAGAAAGATCGCATTGATTAAGATCTACATAATGATATTCATTTTGTTATGTTTTGTCAAACATAAAACGTCATACCAACATCATATCCAATGTAGTCAAAATCAAATTTTTCTCCCCCCGGTAATTAGAAATTTTCCATTAAGCACCCTCTTGGCCAAAACCAGCACAAGAGCTCGAAAAATACAAAAACAGAAGCCTACACCCATCTTGTTACAAGGGGAGAACAAAGAAAACCAACTACTCTAATCATTGACAACAACTAATAATTTTTTGTACAAGAACATGGAAATCGGCATGAGCACAAGCATAGAGTCGAATATCTTCCCGTAGAAGTTCAACCAGCACCTGAGCAGCTCGAGGTTGCTCTCCAAATACTCTTCGGCATATCTCCTTCCATACAAAACCAACACACCAACACCAAATTGAGGCTTCAATCACACCACAACTTCCTTGAGGCTAGATGTTTTTTTTATCATAAACAGCAACATAGCAGACCAATCCACTGGGAAGTCAACTTTGTTCCGCAGGAAAACAACAACAAATTCCTGCATATACACACACTGGTAGAACAAATGATCTCGAGATTCATCTGTTGTCCCACAAAGCACACATGAGGTATCATTAGCAAGCCCCCAAAACTTCAGTGTGTCCCTGGTGGCTATTCTATCAAGAATGATTAACCAGACAATAACACTGTTTCGAGTTAGAACATGCTTATTCCAAATGAATTTCCATCATTCAACTCTTGGCCGCTTCCTTCTGATCGAATCCCAAACCATCGAGATCGAAAACTTTTCCAGCTTCTTTCCCTGCCAAGTAACGCAACCTTGCTCCACTTCCATCCAAAATTGTAACCATGATCGGATCTTCAAAATCTGCTTCCAAATCCAGGAGCCCGAGGAGGTGATTGAATCCTCCCAGATCGAGACTCCCCTGAGTCTATAACTAGAAATCCATGCCACCCAGAAGCTTCCTTCCTGGAGAAGAAGCAGCCAAATAAGCCTAGCCAATGAAGCTACATTCAATGAAATCAGATCCTTCAAAACTAGACCACCTTCCCTTTTAGGAAACGCCAAAGATTCCCAAGCCACTTTTGCTTTGCCTGATTTTTCTCCATGCCAGATAAAGTCAAAGCAGATCTTTTGGATGCTTTTTAACACTTTCTTTGGGATAAGAAATTAGCCATCCACTAGTGAATAAGGGAGTACAGAACTGACTCCACCAACTGCAATTTACCTGCATATGATACCCTATCAGCTCTGCAACTCCTAATCTGACTGGTAGTCTTGTCTATTAGAACAACACATTCACGACTAGAGAGATTACCAGCAATCAGAGGTAGACCTAAATATTGAACAGGTAGAACTCCCTCCTTAAAACCAGATATCATGAGAGCATTAGACTTGAACTGATGTGCATAACCGTACCCCCAAAGAAAACCTCACATTTGTCAGATTTACATTGGAGCCCAGAAAGTCTATAAAAATCATTCAGAATACTTCTCAATCCATTCAATGCAATCGCTGATCCTTCAGAGAATATCAGGAAATCATCAGCAAAACTTAGGTGAGTTAAACCCAACCTTTTACATTGAGGATGATAAGGTAGACTACCCTTGAGAGCAGCATCTTTAAGCATGCCTGTAAGAGGCTCCATGTCAATGGTAAAGAGGTAAGGGGATAAGGGATCCCCCTGCTTAATCAAAATCGCGTTTTAAAACTTAAATACTTATGATTTTATGCTTTTATCGGTCACCAAAACGCTTCTACGTAGAAACGCGTTTTTTACTACATTGATCATATCAGTGTCATATTATCATTATGATGACAAGAATATGATGTCATCAATTATTTTGAGAAACATAATACATCATATCAATATCATATACCAACATCATATCTCATTATACCATCATCAAATAAACACCGTATCACTATGATATCATACCAATGTCAGGATAATATCGTAATACCAAGGACCCCACTTGAACACATAAGAAAGATTAAACATGTGTAGGTACTTGTTGAATATGGATGTGTGAAGTACTTACGATTCCATTCTTACGAAATTTAATTCTTATCAACATTATATACACGCAAATAAATAGCATTATCAATAAGATAAAATAAAAAATTTATTATGAAACAATGGAATATGACGAATCTAACGACCATGTCACATTTCTGACGACATTTTGTTGTATTCGTGACAGAATTAGGTCGTCGCTGGTAAATTTTTACCAATACTTCTTTTTTGGTAATTTATATAAAAATAATTATATTTGGAATTTATGAAACCAAATAAAATAGATAAATCATATAACTTTTACTCATCAGTTATGAAGTTAATCATAGCTCACACTTTTTTTTCCTTTGTGGAGCATCACTTTCACTACATGGTCAATCATATACGTTGATTATAAAGCTTTAACAACATACAATTTTGTATTAAAGCTATATACATTGTGGAAGAAAGAAAAAATTACAAAACACTACTAAATAATGATAAAAAGTAAAAAAATCACACTAAGGTCGCTGCTTTAGCCTTTCGTTCGCCTCCACCCAATGCATCGGATCTTGTCGCCGCTGTCCGTCTGCTAAATCACCACCACAAGCCCAAGTCAAGGAAAAATGAGTTAGAAATTGAAAAAAACCCATAGATCTAATACTTCACAACATGGGCAATTGGGCACCCACATAACATAAAATTTGGATGGAGACACCCTCCAAGATAGGAAACGGGTCATATCGGCTACCGTCGCTTCATAGGGAAAAATCTCATACCTTATGGGAGGCTGAGAGCGGCGAAAGCACCAACCGTAGAAATTGTAAAGAGAACGAGGAACAGTACTGATGCATAGACAAAAGAAAGAAGACTAATGACTGCATCTACAAGGGCTTGATCTTCAGCCACTATTATTGTCACCTTGCCTGCAAAACATGGAAAGAAGAAGCGTGAAGGTCTGGAGGAGGTGAGTCGAACTAAGGCCACAGGTAAAAGAAAGTAAAATGAAGAGAAAAAGGGAGGAACGACACAGGTGAATATGTTGAGAAACTAGAGTTTTGTCAGGAAATTTTTAAATCAACAGTGAGGAACGAGATTTATAAAATTTAATGGATGAGATTGCGTTAGGTTAACCGCTAAAAAGAAGAAAACTAATCTAAATCTAAAGGTCTCGGGAAACATTTTCCCAAATTTTGGCTTAATTGTGCTATTTTTATATTTAATATTTTTCTTTGTGCCTTCCAACCAAGGTTGTCAACCCGCGGGTTGACCCGGACCCGGTCGAACTAGTGGGTCAAGGGTTAATGGGTCAACCATTTTAGCCCGGTTTGGCCCGGAAATATAGAAAGAGTCATTATATTACACTTATCCTCATAAATTATATCAAATCTTATCTAACATATGAGTTATAACATATAATATTACACCAAAATAATATATCGTACTTAGATCCAACATATAGTGAAAATTCACACACACTTATATAACATAAATATTCAAATGTTCAACTTAGTATTCCAAAGATTGAATAAGGCGAAAAGAGAAATTGGAAAATAGACGCATTTCGCAAACTAAAGAAAAAAATGACATAATTTGAGCTCCAACCCGATACCTAATAGCGGTCGGCCCGGCGGGTGTGTGCGGCCCGTTTTTCTCACCGGGTCAGGGTCAAATTAGGTCGACCCGTGGGTCAACTCGCGGGTTGATAACCTTGCTTCCAACATTATTTTCATTTTCCTTATTCTTCACCTTCAAACCTCCAGAACAAAGACCGTAAAAAAAAAAAAAACAAACCTCCAGAACAAAGATTATTAACCATCGTGAAAGGAAAATACGGCTCAAGTTAGAGTGCATAACCCATGATTATGCACCCATCAATAACTAAATCTGAACCCTTCATTTAGAAAATCCAGATTTAAGGATGGAGAATTAAAGGTTATTTTTATTCTCACTAGCTTTCTTAATTGACTCATATCTTTTTTGTTTTAACTCGGATTTTAATTTTTTTTGCACAGATGGAACGAGTTCATCGTGCTCTACAAAATGAGATCAAGTTTTAATATTTTTTTAGGAAAAAAAATTTTGACCTCTCGGTACCAACTGCATACCATATGGTATCTTCTTCGTTTTTAATTCGTTTTTGAAAACGTTTGCACAGCAGGGACGAGTTCATCATGA